ATTTTCGATTCAGTTTCCCTAGATTTTTTACAGATTACTTGTTCTTGATATAGCATGTACGATAGCCAATGTTCACATGCTATAAATCTTTGAGAAGGCTATCTCAGCCTACCTGATTCCAGCGGATTGATCTTGTTGTAAACCATGCTCATGACGTCAGCCTTCTGCTAAATTATAGTTTAAGAAAATGTCCCATGCTTTAGCCTTCCTTGTTCCCTGTTCATTACATTATCTGAACAAAAAGCTACTACTGGTAACGTGCTGCTATTTCATGTTGCTTTACGAGACAATGCTTGGCAGTCTTGTCTCTTTTCACCATGTCATAATGAAATATATTTTGTATATATCAAGACAACATTCATGATATCTTTAGCTACCCAATGTCCTAGCCTGATGCGTTGTATGATGAGTATATCTTCCTGCTCTACATTAATTGGTAAAAGGAGTAGTAATCTTTGATTTCACGCCATCAAGTCCAATGGAAAGGCAAATGGAAGCTGATCAATATTTGAATTTTATGGTCTTTCACCACCAATGGTCCACAGAATTTATTTTACTACACGAGATATTAGTAGAATCATATCTGAATCTTCTCAACCTTGGTAATAATTCTAATTAGAGCTTGAGTTTTAGCTGAGGATTCGTCAAGCAAATCTATTTTTCATTTTGGCCGATGCTGATTTCCTCTTAAATCTTTCCCACCACTTCCTTTTACCAATATCCTTATTCTCCAGTTAATTTGCTTCATAATGCACTAATTCTTTAAAGTAGTGTAGTTTTTTCCCCGTTCCCACTAGTATTAGGTTTTTAACAACGAGGGATCACAGATTTGAATCCTAAAGAACTTTCAGGACTTCATTTCATTTTTGACTCGAAAATGGTCAATTTGTGAGTGGGTCCTCACTTTGCTCAATCTTTGCGCTAAGAACATACTCTTAAAGTATTGAACTTTTCTGGTTGCAGGTGAATCTTGTTGACTGGTTGAAAATGATGGTTGGAAGCAGGCGCTCAGAGGAAGTAGTAGATCCAAATATTGAATCAAAGCCTCCAACAAGAGCTCTCAAAAGAGCCCTTCTGACTGCTCTGAGATGTGTTGATCCAGATTCTGACAAGAGACCAAAGATGAGCCAAGTTGTTCGTATGCTTGAATCAGAGGAATATCCCATACCAAGAGAGGTCGGTATCTGCTTTCTGTTTCCTCTTTTCTTCTATTGCCACGTGAAACTCAAAATTTATTCACCGGGAACTTTGCCCTCAAGTTTCTTATTTTGTTAAACTGTGATCCTGTTAGATACAATCAATTCCTTGTCTTTGTTTGAACAGATGTGTTAAAATGGCTTGTGTATTTGGATGTTCTTCCCTTATGTAGGGACTTAGATGGGGCGGATATATTTGATTCCTAGCTTGGACTCTTAACAATACCTTCCTTTTTAGTCAACTGATGGAGGTTGATATAACAATCTATATATCAACTTGTTTCCTGAGGTGTAGATAAAGAAAGGGATGATGAGTAAACATCCATGTGAACACACCTATTATTTGTTTGTAGGTGTGTCATTTGGATATGGGATAGAGATGGTACTGGACGATAAATATGCCTTACTGTTTGTCTGTCAATATCTTCGTAAATAATTATCTTGTCAGTCAATTGCTCATCCCTTATTGAATGGTTTCTGAAACGAGGGTAACAACAAGGATGGGCAAACTTCTCTCCTTGTTTCAGTGATTTCTATCCCTCGTCGATTGATGAAGAATAGCATGTCATCCTATAAGTTTCCAGTTGTTCGAGGTCTAGTTTAGTGCTAGGCGATGGAGATTGGAGAAGTTAAAGGTTGCAGCCACATGGATGCTCTTATGGATGTGTATTCTTTTCTCTACTGTCTCCGGTTCATCTTGGTGTATGTCCGAATTCTCTATGTTGCTGCATGTATCAATCTGGAATCATCTTTACTAGATCAATGTGTTGCTCATAGCTCTTGAACATATAACTGAAAGAACAAAATTATAGTAAATATTTCACACACAACAAATGAGAAACTTATGTATCATTTTCATTTTTTGCAACTGCAGGATCGAAGGCAACGAAGAGCTCAAGCTGGCAATGCAGAGAGTGAATCTCAGAATTACGACACTGACAAGAGTGACAACCCAGATTCAAGGTCAGAAAGTAGAAGGAATCATAAAGTATAACAGTCTTAGACACAACTTTCTGATCGTTTATGAGAAGCGTACTACTTAAAAAGGCTTCATCATACTGAAGTCTACCGGATCAAGTGAGTAGGAGGATGAACTGTTTCTGTTGGTATATTGTTGTTCAGAGATTGACTATTCTTCTTTTTTCTTCTCCCTTGTTGGGTTCTATTCTTTCTTTATCTTTTATTTGTCCTTTGGTTTTCCTTCTTCTTTTCCTTTTTGGTTTTTTCCTTGTATGAAAGTAGATAGGGAGTTAATTGTATTGTGGACTTGATGGTCTTGTAACTAAACTGAGAACAATCAGGGGGCGGGGGTTGTGTACAGAAGAATTTCTTTCTTTGGTATTCAGTATTATTTAAGTAATACTTCTATAATTTATTTTCCTTAAAGGAATACCATGGTTCAAATAAACACTATGTAATTCCTTCCCATTTGCCTAAGTTTTGATGATTAGAGATACTTGCCGGTAGGAGATAGCAAATATCTTGTGGAATAGTCGAGATACCCAATGCGCGAAAAACAAACTACTGTTGGAAGAAGAGTTTGGACCTGATTTACAGGCTGTTGGGGCTTCTTTGTGAGTTTAGGGACCTACTTCAACTGGTAATTATTAGTACTACTGTGGGTGAAGCAGCTGGTCCCTAGTAATGCAACAATTAATTTTTCCTCAAAGCTTTCTAGTTACAACTTACAAGCAAGAACGTGCATTATTATTAATGCTTGACAGTTATTTGCTTGCAAGTTGTAACACAGGTACAGCCACCACCATTATCCATCACTTACTAGAGTCTAAAAGACAATTTTTTTTTTTTTTTTTGACAGAAAGACCCCTTAAAACATCATTTTACTATAATCTGTTGCAACTTTATGTATGCCATTTTCAACTTTTTCTTCTTCTTCTAATGCTAGTTAGTTCGAGCTTGAAAGGGAGCCTTGGTGTAGCTGGTAAAGTTGCTGTTATGTGATTTGGAGGTCATTGGTTTAAGCCGTGGAAACAGTCTCTTGCAGAAATGTAGGGTAAGGTTGCGTACAATAGACTCTTGTGGTCCGGCCTTTCCCGAACCCCGCGCATAACAGGAGCTTCATGCACCGGACTGCCCTTTTTTAGTTAGTTCGAGCTTACAGCATAATAGTAGGTGGTCCAAGCAAATACGGTTATACGGATTTTTGATGCAATACTCAAACGTCAGTGGTTGTGTTGATTCGCGAAAATAAATTTGTAATAATTTTAATGCACGAGTAATAGTATAATGATTAATAATCACTGAATTATAAAATGCATCTGTTTAATAATATAAAATTGAAAGGAACGGTGTATAATATAAAACTTTACAATTTTATGAGTATATTTTCAAAGTAAAATAAGAAGTTAGAGAGATAACATCAAAGTTACTTTGGCCTTTTACGTGTTATATCCTATCAAGCTACTCATCGTACAGGTTATTGGCTTATCGCATATTGGATCTTGTATAAAATATTACCAAAATTGCAATATGCCAACCAAATGCAATATAAAATGGTATTTCTTATCCCGTGACCAAACGACCCCTTAGCTGAGGACCAATTGAAATGGTTTCTAGTGAAAAAAGAAATTGCAACTAATAAAAGAAGCTATAAATCAAGTCAGATAAGAGATGTCTATGCAAACAAATAAGACAAAAAATTAAGAAGCAAAGATTGTCACTGCTAAATGCATGCTTTCTTATGGCAAATCCAGCTAAGAACAGTATTAAAATGCCACCAACTCGTGTGGTTAGCTACATGTAACGAGGCTGACTCAGCCTATAGACTAGCCTGTTTGGCCAAACTTCTTTTTAAGTATTTTTTTTTTTGCCAAAAGCACTTTTGACAAGAAATTAAGGTGTTTGGCCAAACTTTTGGAAGGAAAAAAAGTATTTTTGAGGAGAATCAGAAAAAAATAATTTTTCTCCTAAAGCACTTTTTGAGAAGCACTTTTGGGAAAAACACACTTAGAACCAGTTTTTTAAAGCTTGGCCAAACACTAATTGTTGCGCAAAAGTGTTTTTCAAACTAATTAGCCAAACACAAACTGCTTCTCAACAAAAGTACTTTTGAGAAAAGCACTTCTCAAAATAAGCTGATTTTTGCTAAATCAGATCACAAGATAGGCTGCAAATAGCCCGTTTGGCCAAGCTGAAAAAATCAGCTTATTTGGAGAAGTGCTTTTCTCAAAAGTACTTTTGGTGAGAAACAATTTGTGTTTGACTAATTAGTTTGAAAAGCACTTCTGAGCAGCAATTAGTGTTTGGCCAAGCTTTAAAAAACTGTTTCTAAGTGTATTTTTCTCAAAAGTGCTTCTCAAAAAAGTACTTTTGGAGAGAAGCAACTTTTTTCTGCTTCTCCAAAACTGCTTCTGTTTCTCCTCAAAAACACTTTTTTCCTTCCAAAAGCTTGGCCAAACACCTCAATTTTTGACAAAAAGTGCTTTTGGCCAAAAAAGAAACACTTTTAGCCAAAAAGAAGTTTGGCCAAACAGGCTATATAAGTCTCACATCAACCAACAGAAGTTCTCTGTCACAAGATAAGGCTGCTAAGAGACCGGAACCAAATCTCACATCACAAGATAAGGCTGCTAAGTCACTGAAATTATCCAAATGGCTTTGCTAAAATCTATCCTCAACATTCAGTACAGGACAGCAGCCACACCATTAATTAGCTGTCTAATGAAGATGGACGTAACAAAGCTTTGGTGGGCAGAGTTTTAACAAGTATTCAGTAGAACAACAGTTAAGATGCGCGCAAATTTATCCAAACACCACATTTATCAAAGAGAGAGAGAGAGAACATTTGTAAATATAAGAAGCCTAGTAAAACTTATACCATTGACCCTCATGGCGAAGCCAGATGCCTTCTCCTTTAAATAGACCAAACAACCAACAGAAGTTCTCTATTTTGCACTAAAAACTGCATGGGTCTGGTAATCTGGTAAATGTATTTATGTACAGCAGCTGAGACAGATTTGGAAACAGAACTAAAAGAATACAAATTTTATGCACAGAAATCTAGCTTGGTTGCTCTTCAGAGGTCTCTTGCGTTTGGTAAATCTTACTGTTTGACTTGGGAATCAGGAGGTTTCCCGCGTTGCTGGTCATATTCTTGCTTCAGTTCCTCCAAATGCTTGGAAACCTATTAAGTGAAAAAAGACAAATACAAATGAGCGATAACTTAACAAGATGACACAGAGAGACGGGAGGACAGTAATCAAATGAGTATTCAGCCCAGATGCTGAGAGCCTTTTGTTTCCTCTTTAGATTGTTTCAACCTTGTGTCCATATCCAGAATAAGACTCTTTCTGAGAAATCAAACATGTAAATAAATATCATCAAGTATCATATGACTACTCTTAAGCTAAAAACAATTCCTTCACTTTAATCCTTGCATAGGTTTGGTGGCAACTCTTTGCCACATCCAACTTTACAGTGCTAATCAACCAACAGGCTTGCAATTTGCATGCATTCAACTTGGTTTAGCATTCATCAATATACTAGGGTTTTGCTTCTGAACTTTATCCACTTAGTTCATGGCTTCCTTCTAGATCCAAATTCAGCAGCCCTTTTTTTGAACTGGTAAAGGCTGCGACCCAAGTGGGGGCAATAATGAGACTGGACAAGTTTTGCTCTAAAAGCTGAGGTTTGGGCCATAAGTCGGTTCGAGTTGCCGCGTACCGTTAACTTTCTTGACAAACTCAGCAGCCTTACAAGCCTGTACTGACTAGATTCTGCTTGTATCTACTCAAACTACTTTAGTTTATATATCCCACATTGAGCCAAAAGTTTTTACTCGCCAGGTTTACAAGCCTATGGCTCTCACCAAAAAAAAAAAGGCTCTCAAAATGGCTGAGGAAGATGTACAAGAAGACATGCGAGAGAAAACACAAGCACAACTGATGCAAAATTACTCACATAAGGCCTCACTATATTATTTTAATTCTTTTGATAGCTGTTATCATGTATAACAATGAGAAATCCTAAATTTCAATACAAGATAGAGTGCCACGTTTGAGTTCAACAGTTTCACTTCAGACTGAAGCTTGACTTAAAATTTTCAAAGGTAAACTAAGCCTTGAGGCATCCATCAAATGTAGAGAAACATATAAACGGCTGCTTAAAGACCACAGAAGAACTGAAACCACGCAATAGCCAGCAAGACACAACACCAGAGAAAGAAACAATAAGAATTACATAGACAATTGGTTTAAGGAAAAACGGTCAAATTACTTTTGCTAATGAATCCATTTCTCAATAGACTTCAATACTTTTCAAATAGAAGGAAAACACACACACACACACACACACACACACACATATATATATATATATGTGGAGACTACATACAGAGCATGAACTACCATGCAATTAAGCATACTAGAGGAATTACGATTTTGGTCATACAAGCTTAGGAACTGATGCATGAACCTTTCGAGAAGTTTGTGGTATATATGTTCAGATACCTGTTGAAGATCTGACAACAGCCTTATCAAGTCCTTTTTTTTTCCGTTTAACCACTAGAGATGGATAGCCTCTGTACTTCTCATTATGCGCAAAAGTGGAAATCTTGGAAGACACTTCTTATTAGACGCAAACATTAGAATATAACATTTGATCAAATAAAAAAAGCATGAAACATCTAGGTTTACCACCCGCCACTTTTTCTCTGAGTCTGTGTCCATATTTGACTAGACATTCATGTCCCACTATGTCAGATATATGGATTGAACCTACTCATTTTACATCCTCATATGTTAGTAAATGCATCTTTTAAAAGATCGGCTTATTAGGGCAATTGAGGTAACTGTTCGAGCATTAATACATTGAAAATTAGAAAACCACGGGGGTCCTACAAGAATTTGACTACCATTAGATTATTGTTTGGCTAGGAGAGTGTTGACTAGTGAGTAAAGGGGGAAGGGGAAGGAGGGNACGGCAACTTTACCTGTGAATGAGAGAATATTATAGTTGTAGCCTGTAGGAGCAAGAAAAAGCAGCATTTATTAACTTTTCTATATTTAAAACTCACCAGGTCATCGTGGCAATATTTCAATAGAGCCAAGCCAACTTTGAAGACGACTTTAATACCCTGGGACAGTGAATTGAGTAAGCTCAACAGTAAATTCAGGCACCAGAGAGTGGATAAAGATGAAAGATTACTGACCTCAAAAAGAAAGACATCCCAAATTCTGAGAGCCAAGTGAAATGGGAAAGAGTACGAGAAAACAGTTATGAACCACTGACTTGCATACATGCTGGGATTTATCATTTCCTGAACAAAATGCTCACCCAACTTCGGCAGGTGCTCTTTCACCAGACGATCAAACTGAAAGAGGTATTGCTGTACAAGCGGCAATCCTACCTAGTGCGCATGTATAAAATTAATTATTTTAATATAACGTAAGCCATATGACATGTTATCTAATCATTGTAATGAAACAAAGACTTCCTAATATGTGGAAGTGGCTGAAAGTCTCCAGAGCATTATGTCGTAGTAGTATTGTTGGATAGGCATAAACAAGGTGTTTTACTTCTTAATATTCTTGATTTTGATTCATCATGAAACTCTTTTACTTATCTTCTTTTCTTAAAAATCATTTTCTCCTTTTCTTCTAATACTCCCTCTGTTTCGTTCTACATGACACTCTTTCTATTTCAAAACATTGCAAAATATTTGAAACAATTCAATCTTTATCCAACTTTCAGTACTCGAAGAATTCAAATCCATTTAATTGTACAAATTTTAAACTTTGATGTGCCTTCTTCTCTGTCAAGCTAACTTTTCAACCATTACTTTACTGTTTATTTTCTCACTACAACTGATATAATACAGAAGACAAAATGAATATCTTAAAACTCTGTTCCCATCAAACATCATCACATAGTTGAAAAGGAGAGAAAAGCTTGATACTAGCATAGGCTCTATAAGATTTATTCTTCTTTGCCCTAACATCTCTCAGAGTCACATAAACATCATGTGGTGGTGCATGCAGAGACACAGCTGAAGAAAAGAGCCAGGTCCTAGTTACATAATAGGATAAACGTAAATGAAATGAATTTTAAACCTCTTTTCATGTTTAAGCTATTATAAGAACCCCAGATTATGGAAGTGGTTTCTGAATTTGTATCCAGTTGATTAAGGATATAAAAACCACAAATTTGGTTCTTAATATGGATACTATGGTCAATAACGGAGTCTAAAATAACAGTCAAACTCTTCACCCTTAGGAATTGATCAGATATTTCACATCCAAATTCTTTTTGAGTTCAAATGTATTGACCATCCACATTTATTGGTGAGCATCAAGCAGTTTCAAGGTTGAGCCTTACCAAGTACATTCCTTCCATAGGAGTGTGAACGGCTCCCTTCAACAATGCAACCAATAACCAAAATGCATCTTCTTCACTCATGTAAAGAAGAAGCAGACCTGCTACAAATCCCATGCCCTGCATCAAAACCATCAGTATCATCCAAAATCAGTAACCAGACACTAGATCACCAGTCAATCAATAAATTAAGGATATATACCTGTACGTATCCAACATCTCGGTCAAAGACAGAATATGCTTTCAGAACGTTGTAAAGAGACCTTTGACCAGGTCCATGTCTCTGCTGAAAGAAAACATGCGAGGGAAAGGTGCGAGAAATATCTCGAATAATATCCAATTCGGAAGCTGATGTCTCATATATGACAAGTTGCTGCAACAGATAAAACTTCAATCAGTTCAGAGATTTCCATTACACAGGTAAAGCAAAAATGAACAAACCAAAAATGGAGCAATTGGTTGAACTGCAGCAGAACTAGCTGGAACTAGAAGTCTTTTAAAAAGAAACTAGTCCAGAACTGCAAAAAATCTACCTCATAAACTCCAGGATTAAGTAGCAAGAGGTCCCGACTTCCAGAAATTAGCTGCCAGACGAGCCCCCTTAGACAATCAGGTATTCCTTTCCGTATTCGCCTTTTAACAACATGTGGTTTCCTCCGAACATACTGCTTCCAGTCACTTCCTCCAACACCTATCATTTTTCTCCATTTCCTAATCCTTCTCTCATCTCTACAAAATATTTTTATAAATGTAAAAAGAGCATCAACCAATCAACAATCAATCAACTATACCTCAATTTCAAACTAATTGGGTTCAGGTGTATCTATATATCCATTCTACTCTATTCAGGTCCATTAAATGCTATAATTCATGATACAAGTAAGTTACATAATATGTGAAGCGCAACAATTTACTTCTCGTACACGAACATTACTTCACTGTGCATCTAACATGTGACCGCCAGTGGAAATACTGTAGAAACAAAGTTGTTTGCCGCATCAACAGAATGCATTGGATTGTTTCTCCTTAATATGGAGTTCCGTTGATATGAAGATACAACAATAACAACGAACCCAGTGTATTCCCATAAAAAGGGGTCTGGGGAGGGTAGTGTGTACGCAGACCTTACCCCTACCTTATAAAGATAGGGAGGTTGTTTCCGATAGACCCTCGGCACTGTTGCATTTAAATTTTGTGACATTACAAAAATATGATTACACTTCCGTCTACAGGATGGAAAATTGGGTGATAGTGGAGGGGTGAAAAAGAGAGTCATCACTAGAGAAGTACAAATAGGATAAGAAAATTAACATGTCCAGTTTAACAAGCAACTAATGAATATAAAAAGTAGTTCCTTACCTCTGATATTCAAAGGCCGACCGGCTCCTTGCTAAACCTTCAGTAGGGCTATGTTCCTGCTTCACAAAACCGAATCTATCAACTCGCATGGGAACAAGCGGGCTTTCCTCATTTTCATCTACTACTTTACTTTCCATTGCTAACCTAGAACAACCCCAACGCTACACTCCAATAGAACATTAGGCTACTGCCCGCAACTTTTCCAACTGCATGGACCAGTAGTACAGATTCTCCTAAGCCCTGAACTGCATTAAAGGTGACTGCTTGTTAATAAATACAAACATCATAACATTGGAAAAACTCTTCCCAATTTATCAACAACAAAGACATCTTACAAAAATTCACCTGAAAATAACTTTACTAATACCAATTGGTTTTGTGGGATGATTTCCACACTGGCTCACCCTATGAAGAAAAAAGAGAAATTTTAGACTCCTTTCAAATATTATAAAAACAGATCTGAAAACTGCATCAGCATACATTAGAATCATACACCAATGACCTGTTTGGTTCGGGATTATTTTTACCTGATTTCATTTGAAAAGAAAAAAGAGTATAGCAATGCTGTGATGAGGGTAGAGATAAAATATCAAAGTGCAGACAAAAAACAATATCTCATTAAAGGTTAACACAGCATTCTGTACCATTCATATCAAACGCCAAAACAAGAACAAACAGGTTCGGATGAATTCCCAGCTAAATGGGGCACAAAATAACGAGAGATTAAAAACCCACATTCAATTTTAAATAAAATTACAACCTTTATATTCATAGACTAAGAATATTCATATCTAGGAATCATGTTTGGGGGTTAAATTTTGGGGGGAACAAAAACGGGTAGCAATTGGGGGAGAAAACGAACCTGGATAGATAATTCCAACATTACGGAGACATTAAAGTACATGTGATTTGATTTTCTTGTTGACAATACTAGTATGATTTTCCAAGAAACAAGAACAGATTAAAAGAAAAATTATGTCCCTGTTTACATAGCTGGCGTGTGCATTTTACGCTTTTAGAAATTACTCGTGAGGCCGCGTTTTCAGGGTGGGTTTAACATTTTCTTTTTCCTTTTACTTTCGGGTACATAAATTGGGATAAATTAATAATTCATATTTTGTTATAAAATAAAGGCTGTAAAGTAAAGACAAGTATAAAGAGAAACTGATCTATTATTCGAATTCAAACTGATGTACATAATGAACTGAAATCTCTTCTATTTATAGAAGAAAAGAAGCTACTGTGTAAACTGCTATGCAAGCTGCTGTGTAAGCTGCTACTACAAGCTGTTGTGTAAGCTGCTATTACAAGCTGCTGTGTAAGCTGCTACTGCAAGGTGCTGTGTAAGCTGCTACTATACCAGATATGGATAATCTTCTACTGAGAGCAATGTTTATCCATAACGGAATACTGAATGGATAAGCTTATTATACCCGGTATGGATAATCTTCTACCTAGGGTAATGTTTATCCATAACCGGGTACCGAA